ATTTGGAGGGGTATTATATGTATGTTGCTCTGAGATAGTAGTTGAGATGATATTTCATGTTGCCTGCTTGTTTTGAACAAGGTTTCTGACTTTTATTGAAAAAAAAAAGGAAAATAAAGAAGGAAATAAAATTTTCTAACCCACAACTGAAACTATTTTTATATTGGCCACTATCAGTCGATTTTGAACTTGTTGGAATGTAAATTTAACAAATGGGTTACACATCTAAATATTAAAAATAATATGAAAAATGATTTAATTAAAATCAAATAAAGTGTTCTATTTAGAATTAAAGTATTAAGATTTATGGTTTTAATTCGCTAAAGTAAAATGTTGAGAAAAGACACAGAGTGGTATTTAAAATATTTTGTGAGATCATATTGTAAATATCATATGTTAAGTTTATAAATGGAGATTGGAGTCTCTATGTCTAAATTGAGCGCGAAAGACACTACATCTTTGCATTCTTTCAAGAAGACCCATAAATGAGGTTTTCAATATTTATAATACGGAAGATCACATTATCAACCCATAACCCAATAAAATTTTAATTTATGATGCTTCCCACTCCGGATTTTGGAACACTTGTGCATTTGTTTCTCTCATTACTCAAAGTAGATACGATAATTTATTTAAATTTATAGATTTGATTGCAATATTTTTATAATTTATGAATTTTGGTTGACTAGAAAAAATTATTATGACAAAATTAAATCGAACAAAGACACATGTACACAACAAATCACTCTGAATCGCTCCAAATATTCCAATCACATCTACGGACTTTATTTATTTTGTGGTTTTTAATATTTGTTGGCGAGTTTAATTGTAACCAATGCTTTTTGTGTGCTAAATAATAATACTACAGAATATTCTATGAACTAAAATATAATAGAAGTTATTTAATATATATATATATATATATAGCCCATTTATTAAGCAAAGTTGTGGATCTCCAGCTAGGTATGTGTGGATATATGGAGTCTTCTGACCATTCAACGCTTCAATGAATGAGAGCCATCCACAGAATAAAGAAAAGAATCTTGCGATCTGTATAGCTTCTTCATTTCTAGCTCTAGTCAAGCACTTTCAAGTAATTTGCTAATGTACACTAGTGGTGTTGAACCTTAAACCAATCCTTGTTAGCCCAATTTTGTCAAAGTCATATCAAAATAAGTCTTTCTTAGGTCAATCGAAAAGAAAAAAAGAATTTTATAAAATGAGATTAAAATAGATTTGAGACAAGACAAGATAGCACAGGACACAAAATCACTCTTGAGACATCTCGCCCTGTATATTATTTATGTGTGTGTATTCTTTTAAAAATAGGCATTAATTATATCAATATATAAGTAAATTTAATATTTGCATAATCTCTATCCAAAATTAAAAAGTCTTGATACAAATAATTTTAATTATCCAGAGCAAGTAATATAAGATAATCTCTTTTTAACAATCAATTACTTATATTAACACAATTTACTCTTTTTTTGATAACTTAATATAGTTTATTTTTATATTTATCTATTTAATAATTTTTTATATTGGGTATTTCTAGTTTTATTTTTGAAAGAGTCTATAGCTTCAAATATCTTAATTAAAGAAAAAGAATAATAACTTAATATTTTCCTTGACTTGTCTATTTATGTTGCCCTTGTAGCCTGAAGGAATTTCTTGTAATTGTTGTCATAATATGTTATGTTTTATGTGCACTTAACTTTAACTTATAGAATTGTACTAATGATTAATGCAACTCAATAATTAACTTTAAGTCGTCATGATTTATGTATTTGTATTGTTTTGATTTTAAACCTAACAAGTTATGTAATTTAATGTTTTAATAAATGTTATTATCTAAGTCTTTTTTTCACATTATCCACTTTAGTAGGATGTCTTAATTTTGTTTCAATCTTGTCTTGATTCAAGACGGGACATGACAACTTTTAGTATGAGATGAAATATAAGATAAAAATTTAATTTTAATCTTTTTTGAGATAGAGATGTCTCGATTTGGTCATGTTTGTGAACATCTCTATTCCTACATTGAGCAAAATTTTTAATTTCCACTCACAGAATTCAGACACCAAAACTTTCCCAAAAAATCACTTTCAAATCTCCCTCAAACCACCTAAATATAAAAATATTTCATAAAATCATAAATTCATTCATAAGTCTAACTTTCTTTAATTTAATAAAATTATTAATTACTTTTAGATTAGTTGTTGACTCCCTCCAGTGCTTATTATAGTTAGAGTGTCTTCTAAAAAGATTTTTTAGTTCTTAATATTAGTATAAGCTAATTGATATGGGCATATGGTATTAATACATTATTCTAATATATTTTTTATTTAAACTCATCAGCTATGAGAGGAATGTAAAGCAAATTTATTTTTTTTTCCTTTAAAAGGGGGGAGAAATTGAAAGTTTATTATATTCTCAGGCAAAATTAATAATGACTTAACCACTTTTTCTTAATTTTGAGAAGATAGTTACAAATGTTTTATGATATGGATCAAAACAAGTATTTTTCAACAGTGATTGACAATTTTAATTTTTAATAAAGAACGTGAAACTTCACAGTCATTTTGTAATTTTATAACCAGAGAGTGATTTTCTCAAATTTACTTGGCAAAGTATCAAGAATCTAACCGGTCATTAAATCAGTTAAAGATATTTGGTTCAAGAATTGGTAGTTAAAATCATAGATGAACTAGAATCAAACTAATTGTCATAAACAAAATATTTTATTAAACTGGTTGAAGTGACTAATGACCCGATTTTCAAAATTAGTTTTGTTTTTTTTTTTCAAAAGGTCAGTGCTGGATCATACATATCCAAAGGGAGAAGGAAGCTGTAATCTCTCTTTTCCCCATGACGTATTGAATAAATGGTGCGATGGCCATTTTCGATACATCTGATCTCAATTCAATTAATTAATGTTACATAAACTGTCCCACTTGCTACTATTCATCAGCTCTTCTTCCCTCTGGCCTCGCCCACCTCTAGATGATCAAATTAAAGAAAATATGTATATGCAGTATCTGAAAGGCGAATTATTAATTAGCTGAGAATTTAAGGAACAACATGCTGTCCTCAGCTAACTCATGCTTCTGTACCTTTCACATTTTCAACCTCTGACGACCGCATTCATTCATTAATATCTTGTGTCATTGCTCCTCCATCCCCTTCCTCTTTCTCCTTTTATATAATTACTTGCTTTCATCATTAACCAATATAACATGGAGAATCATATCATGCGGCCAAAAGGAGTATATATTCATAGTGCTTATTATAAGTCACTTTTGATCATCTTATGTCACACTTAAGAAAACATAGTTAACACTCATTAAATCTTTCTTCTTTTTTTTTAAAAAAATACTATTTCAACTTTATCCTTATTGAAGAGATAAAAACATAACATTCCAAGAGTCATAAAAAAAACACTACATTATAATTAAATTTTCTTTTTCAAAATTTATTAGGATAAAATTGAAAAATATTACTCCCGGGCAAAGAGAAAAATCTTGTTGGTTCTATTTGTAAGTTAGTTAGTATTTTTTTTAATCATAATTTTCTCCTTTTATCCTCCATTAAATATTTGTAAGAGAGTATGTTATCAAATAATGTATATTTAATAGGATAAAGTTGTAAACTTATTAAATTTTTAGATAAAGTTAATAAGTTTTAATGTTTAATTTTCTTGATTATAATAAAACATGTTGAAAGGAAATTGTAAATATGATTAGATAAGTAATTAATGTGCTCTCCAATTTAATATATATATATATATATATATCGGAGTGTGTGTATGCATTTTCTTCTATATAAAACATAAGTAACTTAGCAGTTGTAGAATTTTTTTTTCTCATTTTACCCATTTATATTTATTAAACTGGATTCTTATTTTGAATTTAAGACTTTCTTCTCACTTATTATCGGTACTTAGGACTAAGGGTAAAAAGAAAAAGAAAAATATATTTTCAGAAGAATAATGATTTTATTGGTGTGTTAATTATTGTTGAAAGATGCTTATATTTTGAATTGAAGAGAATAGTTGTTAGATACTTAAATATTTTCAGAAGAATAATGTATGCTTAAATATAATATACTCTAAACAAATAGTGTATGCCATTTGATTTAATACTTCTTAAGCTTATATATTTGTAATCTATCTTCTAATCTTTTAAATGTAGGATTTTTTTATGTTCTAATATTTTCTCTACTACTTTTTTTCTCTATTTTTTTTAATTTTTTTTTCTTTTTGCTTGGGCTTGTATTTTTTTTAGCCTCAAAACCTCAGATCTATTCAATTTTTTATTCTTTTTCTTCTCATTCTCTCTTTCTTTCTTTTTTAATCTCTTATTTTTTTTTCATCTTTCATCATTTTTTCTTTTCTCTCTCTCTTTCTCTTTGTTTTTTTGTCCTCGATTGAATGACTCTTGATACGATATTAAATTTCTTATATCAAGTATGCTTAAAAATAATATACTCCATCAAAATAGGGAGAGAGTAGTTGTTTTAATCATATTTATATGGCATCACTTATTATGTTCATCTAATTTTACCCTTTTAGCCATATTAAATATTAGGAAGGTTATTAAATGTTAAAATAATTTATTTTTAAAATATGTATATTTAATAAGAAAAAAAAGCTAAAAACATGAGAGTTAAAAATTTTCTTAATTTTGATGAAAATATTAAAAATTAAAAATAATTTATAATTAAGGCCGGTAAAAAACTATATGACTTGTGTCCCGGAAGAAATTCTTTGAAAAGAAGTCGGGACACACACGAGTGAAAAAGGAATTATATATTGAAGCATCATGCATCAATGAAAGTGGGGCACTTTGCATGAACCTCTTCAAGATGCTGCCAACTGTCCCTCCTTTACCTGCCACGTAGCCTCCCTTCTCTCTCACCACGTGGCTCTCCCATTATGGGTGCTCGCCCTCCCTCCTTATATATCCCTTTTCCTCTCCTTGACCTCCTTTCTTCATTCACACATAATCAATCAGTCTCCCTTTCTCTAAACCATATACACAATTTCCACATCCTTGTCTTCTCAATATATCACACTCAAATCCCTCACACTGTTTACACAGCATAACAATGCCAACACCACCACCACCAACAGCACCGTTTACCTCTCAAGAAACCCCTACCCCTACATCTCCTCCTTTATTATCTTCCTCTTATCCAATCACTCTCAAGGTACTAAACATGTTCAAATTACACTCTTCTCTCTTTCTTATATATACACGCACACACATATACATATTCATCAAGCATTCAATATTATCAAATGTAAACCAAATGATCCATTCTTTTATATCTTATGCTTCTATTTGGTGTTTGTTCATGCAGTTCGTGGACGTGGGATACAGGGTAAAGGTGGAGAAAAAGAAAGGAGGGAGCAACATAAAGCGAATGATCTCGTCGGTGTCCGACGGGAGATCCACGGCGGCGCAGGAGAAAATCATTCTGAACGGTGTCACGGGGATAGTGTCTCCTGGAGAAATCCTGGCGGTGCTGGGACCGTCGGGGAGCGGGAAATCTACGCTCCTGAACGCGCTCGCAGGGAGACTTATCCAAGGGCAGGGACTCACCGGAACGATCCTCGCGAACGGATGCAAACTCAGCAAACCGATTCTCCGGCGAACCGGGTTCGTGACCCAGGACGACGTGCTCTATCCTCATCTCACGGTCCGTGAGACGCTGATCTTCTGCGCGCTTCTCCGCCTGCCGAGAGCATTCTCGAAAGCGGAGAAGATAGCCGTCTGCGATTCGGTGATCGCAGAGCTGGGACTGGTGAAATGCGAGAACACGATCATCGGAAATGCGTATATACGAGGGGTTTCAGGAGGAGAGAGGAAGAGAGTGAGTATAGGGCACGAGATGTTGATGAATCCGAGCTTGTTGATACTAGACGAGCCAACATCGGGGTTGGACTCGACGGCGGCGCACAGGCTGGTGACGACGCTGGGGACGGTGGTGGCGCAGCAGAAGGGGAAGACGGTGGTGGCGTCGGTGCACCAGCCGTCGAGCAGAGTGTTTCAGATGTTCGATAAGATCTTAGTGTTATCGGAAGGACAGTGTGTGTATTTCGGGAAAGGAAGTGAAGCCATGAACTACTTCGAGTCCCTTGGGTTCAAGCCGTCTTTCGCCATGAATCCCGCCGACTTTCTGCTTGATCTCGCTAACGGTACGTCGTCCTTTTTATCTTCTTCTTCGTCTTCATCTCATTTGTGGGTTGGGCTATGATAAGTCGTAATTGTTGTTTTTTTTTTTTTGCAATATGATAAAATAATTTTTTCCTTTTTTAAGAAATTAGGTAGATACAGAATCGACTTTATGCCATGAATGTGACCTTTTGAATACAAGGGTGAATATTTAGATTTTAGAAGTCATAAAGTGTGTGAAGTTAATTTTGAGATTTCAAGGATTTTCAGCTTTGAAGGATTGTAAATCACTCAAAGAATATAATTGATGTTGTAAATTAAATTGAAAAAAAAAATGAAAGGATCTATTTTAAAAAAAAATAAGGTGAAAAAATGATCCTGGGTTTGCCACTTTGAAGCCTACTTATTGGTTATAGAAATAGAAAACACAACAAAATATTAAGCCATGTTTTAGCATGATAAAAATGTCACTAGACATAGATTAAGAAGAAATTAAATAATAAGAATTCAGTGTTTGTGGCTGTATGCAGGGGTAAGAATATAGGGACAGGGTATGAAGGGACAGCAGAGGGTAAGAATGAGTGGGATCATGAAGGGAACGAATAAGTATAACAAATAAATAAATAGATAAAAGATCATTAGGCACACACACATACTCCCTGTAGCCTTATAAAATAAGGTACAAAGAGAAGATTTTTTTTCTTATTTACAAGTCATCTCATCAAATTTTTATTATAAATTTTTCATTTGACCTCCATTGAAAATTGTAAAACATGTTGAAAGTCTTTTATAAACAGGATATAAGGAGTTATCCCTCCCTTAAAAATGTAAAGCATTCTCTAAGAAGTTAAATATAAAAAAATATAAGGTATTTTTAATCTTTCAAGTCATTGCCTTTTTTTTTAAAGTATCCATATTAAATAAATCACTTTATATTTATTTTAGAGTAAAATATCTTATTAAATAGAAATAAATATAGAAATATAAGGTTAGTTTAAAGATAAGTAATTATTTTATTGAAGAATAAGATTTGATTAAGAATATTTTTCATTTTTTAATGAAGAGAGTATATGTTATGTGACTTCTTCGATCATCCCATGCTTTATTTTCCCGGCACATTCTTGTTTGTCATAATTGCTAGCAACAAATATTTAGTGGGAGAACTTTATTATCCTTTGTGTCCTGTTCAGTTTAATTTGAATTAGTCTGAATCCTACTGAGTCCTTTAGTTAAATTGGAACAGGTTTAAGATATCGAAAGTCTTGCTAAAAAAAATTGTTAGCAATAAGGAGCAACACTTTGTTGATTGATGATTTCTTTATATTGCAAATTATATCATTCGTAATCCATATAGATAAGATTATGTTCACGGTCTATACATATAGATAGAAACATTACGAGAACTCTATAATTAAGAAGTAAAACCTATCCTTGTAAAATGAGAAACACCATCATACTTATATATATACAAACTTATATATGTATATATATAAGTATGAGATTTTTTTTTTTTTGCCAGCTATATATACTAATTTGCCCATTGTGGTGTTGCTTGCATTAGAAAAGAAGTAATAGTAAACTATATTTTAGGGTTTGAGAATATGACAGAGAAGATGAGAGTTCCCCAATGTGTAGAATAAATCATAATATTGAACTCTGCATGTAAACTCCCGTCGAATTGAATTGATTATTGAACTAGTTCTACAACTATTTCAATAAAAATATTTTATTAATAATCAGTTTAATTATAATTCAATTATGATTTTGATTATTAATTTTTAAATCAGTGTCTTAATTACTGGTTTAGCGACATGTCTTATTTTCAATATCTTAAAATAAATCCACTAATTAGATTGAGATATTTCCTTTTTTTAAAATAGTAATTGATGATATAATTGTAAAAGCATTCGTTGTTGGGTTTTAGTGTTCATGAGCACTTGGTTCAGATTTAGATATTTTTTATTTTTATTTATATTTATTATAAAAAATTATCAAATTTTAATAAATATACCTTATCATCAATGTGTACATTCAGATCATTAATTTATAAAAATTAAAAATATTAATATTAAGTTAGATCATTCAAGTTAAATTTATATTATTCAGATTGATGGTAAGGTAAAATTATTAAAATTTTATAATTTTATTTTAAAAAATATAAAATAAAATTGATACATCTGGATCGTTTGTATTGCTCATCGCCACTGAAACTGAACGCAATTGTAAAAGGGTTTACTGTGAGTGGGGAAAATTCCTTCATGTGGATACCACGTGTCTTCTTTTTAGGAACTCTCTGTCACTCCGCTTCACATCTTCTTTGCCTCTCTGAGCCTTAGCCACAGACACAGTGTTGTGTTCTGTCTCACTCACTCTCTCTTTCTCTCTTTCAAATGCCAAACTGATTTGACTTGCTTGACATTTCTCGTTCTTGATCTCTTTCGTTCCAATATCTTATTAATTTTCCACAAAGCCAAACAATAATTATAACCACCGATTCCTCCCTCCAACCAAACATATCTTATAAGGATCTTCCTTTACGCTAACTATATATATAGTTGGCAAAAATGACAAATAGAAAATAATTTTCATATGGATAAGCTAGCTCGCCAATTATATTATATGTGTGACAAATATATAAAATTTGAATTTTATAGATAAATTTTAGGTGATGAATTATGAAGGAGATGGAAGAAGACTTACGCAATAGACACACAGAAATGTGGGGGGGCGTTTTTTTTTTTTTTTTTTGGGACAGGGAAGTGACAGAATAGCTAGACCCACTAATTGATTTAAAAAATAAAAATAAAAACAAGAACAAGCTTTCCTTGGAAGGCTATAAAAGGTGATGGAAATGAAGGAAAATTATACTACTAGCCTTTAAGAAAAGTTTCAGATTTCCAATATCAAATGTTACGTGTCATGTTTGTGTGAGTGCGGACTTATATTATTCCTTGCTTTTGTAAAGATAATTGATGTGTTTATGATCATACACTTGTAGATAGGCCTTGAGGTTGGTCCCTATTTTCGTTATAGCCAGACAGATCTTTTCCAACTATACATATAACATCTATCACATGTAATAATTTATGTGCTTTTGCACTCTATCCATTGGATTCGAAATTACTTTTGTTGTCGTGCTGGAAATAGGCATTTAAATTGACATATTTCATACCATATTAATTAGCAACACTTAGTGGAGGCTATATATATCATACTTTTTTAAAAAAGTTAGATTCTTCAATTCAAAAAAAATCTATGCCTTTTTTTATTTGTAGCTATGAAACAAGCTTGTTATTCACAAGATTGAAACTCGACTTATAACATATCTTTTACTATTGATTATTGATTTTTCATTCCTTTGTTAGCGTGTTTTAGATTTGTTAGGATAATGAAATGCGCCTTTTTATCCTAAAAACCCTACTGAAGAAAGTAGACAAAAAGCAAATTAATTGCAGATATGTATGTGTCTTAAAGCCTGCAAGTTTTATATATGTCATTTGTCATTGATTTTATACAGATATAATTTATTTAAAGGTTGATCAAAATTATCTACACATACATATAGATACCTTAAATTATTGCAAAAGTATCCACTACATTTGGTGGGGATATATATTAAAGGTGGATCCATGCATAGAGAAAAAAATATATCAATAATTAAAGGTTTTATTTTTGAACAGTAAATTTTTCTTATTCTTTATTTCCTCTCTTTTCAAGTTCAAACAAAATAAATCAAACTGATCAGTAAAGTAGTAAAGCATGAAAATCAAAAGCCTGTCTCTCCTTGAACGAATCTTATCTTTATTGTTATTCGTTAGTCATACACACACATGGATAGATATATAAATATAGTAGGACTAGTTAAAATAGCTAGCTAGATTAGATCAACATAAATATCATTGAAAAGTTCTCCATGTGGGTCACACCAATTTAATTTATTGTTTATGGTTAAAACCAAAAGAAGAAAGTGGGCAAAGAAAAGCTGGGAAATATATATTGCTCAGGCAATAATGGATATCGCAGTTACGTATCAGTGTTCATTATAGTGTTTTAACAGTATTGCATCACTAAGCATGGTCTGCAAATTGATTAATACTTAATAGTGTGCAATAATATAGTAGTATTATTACTTAGTGCTGTTTGACTGGACACTTTATTTTTTTCCCTTGATTCTTAAAAGCTTGTTTGGGTTTTGTGCCTCTCTTTTGATTGATTCTTGAGCACCGTGATCATTAATATTATTAGTGGTTTTTGAGTTGATGACGACACTGATAACGTGAGAAATCATCAAACTTAGGAGTATGTTGGTTATAGAAAGTTAAAAATTAATTAGTGATGAGCCAGCACACTTGGATAAAAGTGGCACGTTGAATCAAGCTCTGCCCTTGAATCAATTGGTTTATCATAAATAATTAAGCATAATCTTGATATGATCTACCATTGTTATCTTGAATCTTATTGGGAAACAAAAGTTCATGGGTGTTTTATATAGGCACTCCTGGAGTATTGGTTTTTCTTTTTTATCATAATCATCACTTGGGTTTTCTGGTATTTAGATGTTTGCATTCTTTCCGCCTGCATGTTGGATATCTATACATGTTGCATATCTATATTAAGTTATTCAATTCAAGTAGGAGTGAACTTAAATCGATAAAAAAATTACCACGTTAGATAGAATTTTAATAAATAATACGAATATGTAATAAAGTATAATGACTCATAAACATCAATCTTAATATTTTAAGTTAAAATATGATCTACTTCTGCTGCTTGTCACCTAAAGAGGCGGTTCTAAGTTTGAACAAGAATGTTGACTTGTTTACGTTGTATATCTCCCTTTCTTTGTATAAGGAAAGGTTCTTAAGTTAGGGTAAAATTTAAGGGGAAAAAGTAATTTAATTTATTAAAATTATTATATTTGAAATGAGTGGAATTACAAGGGGATGTTCCATATTGATGAGTACACATGTCAAAATTTGACCGCAATTATATTGTTTTGAAAATGATGTGATGATGGATGGATGATGCCCTTTATATATGGTCGCTTTAATTATTTCCTTTTCTCACTTTTGAATTGCTCTAACTTTTTCAATTATATTATTACATGTTAGAATCTCTGTTGAATGCCTCCACGTGTTGGGCTGCCTTTAATTCATCCTTATAAAACACGACAAATGTGAAGCTCAATTTGACATAAAGTATTTGAAATAGACAACCTTATAGAACCAATATATATTTTGATATATATAGACATATCTACACATATACAAAAAATCAAAGGGGAAACAACCGGCCGTGGCCCAAACCTTGATGTCACCGCCACAGCACCAATCTTATATAGTGGAGACTCACCTTGGATTGTTTAATTTATAATTACAGCAAACACAAATCAGCTTTTTCAACCTCCACTACTTACGGCCCAACATAAAACTGACACTTAATTAAGAATAACGAAATGCCTAATCAATTAATCAAAAGGAAAAACTTATATATTTAGTTTTATATATTTATGGTATTTGTTTTTAATTAAATTAAGATATGTAGATTTTTTATTTTATATAAATTCTTGTTATTAAGTTAATTAATACATTATTATCCACTTGTAGTGATATGATTTGATAAGTATATTAATTATATAATGTTAAGTACATAAGTATTCCCTTAACTAAAGTCACACAACACGTATTTATCATCTCTCTGTGTAGGGTGTGATTCTTTGGTTTTCTTTTGATTCTGTGAAAATATATTCGGCTCTCCATGTTACATTTACATATGGTTTTTTTAATTGAATTGAATTTTATTATATGTATAATTGATAAAGATAACGTGGCCTTGGGTTCATAAGAATGTTTCGTAGCAAGGTTGAATGCTAGCTTTCTCTGTGTGTGTTGTCGTGTCGTGGCTTAGCTTCTAATCTTTCTGTCATAAAGTCGAATAACCCATTATTCTTGCCAGCCAAAAGCAAAGTAAAGCATTCTTGTTTTTCCCTTTTTTATTTTTTAAGGAATGCAATAACATTTAAACTTATCGATTTTCTTTTTGTTTTTCTTTCATCAGTATACTATTATTATTTTATATTTACTCAATTTTTTTTAATTTTAACTCTAAATTTTACTTTTAAATTTTAACTTTTACAACTCAAATTAAAATTCAAGGATTGGATAAAGATTGAGTTGAAGGTACATTGGGACCAAATAATTACTTTTCCAATTGATCTTCAAGTGTGGCTGATTATCCTAGTTTGATTGTTGAAATTGGAAGCAAAGAAAGCCATAAGAAGTTAATTAACGAATCTCGAACCTTCTCTGCATGCAGGTGTTTGTCAAGGTGATAGTACAGTGAGTGAAAGAGACAAGTCAAATATAAAGCAAACCCTAGTCAGCTCTTACAACGCAACTTTAGCTCCCAAAGTCAAAGACGCAATATTAAACTGTACCGACCCATGCATGAAACACTCTCCTCAATCCCCTCATCATCGTCGTCTTCATCCCCTGGAAACCACGACGACCAGATCCAGATATCAAGCAAGATACAGTAAGTTCATGAACACCATCTCCTTCTCTAACTGGTTCAACCAGTTCACCGTCCTCCTCCACAGAAGCCTCAAAGAGCGAAAGCACGAGTCCTTCAACCCTCTCCGAGTCTTCCAGGTCCTCGCCGCCTCCCTCCTCGCAGGCCTCATGTGGTGGCACTCTGATTACGGCGACGTCCAGGACCGCCTCGGCCTCCTCTTCTTCATCTCTATCTTCTGGGGCGTCTTCCCTTCCTTCAACTCCGTCTTCGCCTTCCCTCAAGACCACGCCATCTTCATCAAGGAGCGAGCCTCCGGCATGTACACTCTCTCCCCTTACTTCACCGCCCGGATCGTCGGTGACCTCCCAATGGAGCTCCTCCTCCCCTTCATCTTCCTCACCGTCACCTACTGGATGAGCGGTCTCAGGCCAGACCTGTGGTCTTTTTTACTCACCGTACTAGTCGTTCTCTTCTACGTGCTCGTGTCTCAGGGACTTGGCCTTTTCCTCGGCGCCGCAATGATGGACGCCAAGCAGGCCTCCACGGTGGCCGCCGTGGTGATGCTAGGGTTTGTGTTGATCGGTGGGTATTATGTTCACAAGGTGCCTTCATGCATGGGGTGGCTCAAGTACGTATCCATAACTTTTTACTGTTACAGGCTTCTGATTTATATTCAGTATGGTAATGGGAAGAGAATCTCAGAATTTCTGGGTTGCTTTAACAATGGAGGAATAGTGGGTGATAGAGGACACTGTAAGTTTGTGGAACAAGACGTGGTGGGACAGATAAACCCTTGGGTAAGCTTTGGGGCTCTGGTTATGATGTTTATGGGGTATAGAATGTTGGCTTACCTTGCATTGAGGAAGATCAAGACTTGAAGATATATATATATAAGGGTCTTCTAACATGCACACAGGTTGATTATGATGATGCAGAAAGAAAAATAAGTAATTATTATAAGTAAGAAATGGAAGGATCAGATTTTGGGGCTTGACAGTTTATTAATTGAGACCATGTAGGTTCAGATTCTTACCAATTGTAAGTGGAGAGAGAGGAAGAAAGTTGAATCTTATGAAGAAAATTTGATTGATGTATAAATTAATTTAAGTTTTAAATTTAGTCCTTTTAATGTTTAAGTTTGTACCCAATATTGAGGGAAGAAATGAAGAAATTTTTTCCCAGAAAAAAATGTAATCTGCAATTTCCTCTGTATCAATAACCTTTAATTTACTTAACTTTACTCCAAGACAGTGGCAATTTAGCCTTCCTAGTCTTTCTTTTCTAATTGCTAAAATCGAATTTTAAATATTTAAATTTAACAAGAAGCAAAAGCAAGGAAAAAAAATATTAAATAAAGTTGGATATAATGATAAGGACTAGTTCCTCAAAATACGTTAGAATCAAGATTTGAAGCTTTGTTTAAAAAAAAAAATGTTCATGTTTAGTGGCAATTTCAAATAGATGAATTAATTGGCACGGCTTGGCAGATGAGTGCGCATTTATATGTATCACTTCAATGACCATAAGGCCTAATTAATGGATAGCTCGGCTAATTATGGTGAAGGCCATTTGAACAAGAAGATAAACCCTCCTTATATATATTATATTGAATGTGCAAACCTAGAAAGTTAGAGTTATATAATAATAAAAATTATCAATACAAAATAGTACACAGGCATGGATAGCATATAGAGCCAACCAATTTATGATAATCTTATACTTTCAGGACAATAGTATAGTCTGTACTTGCTTCATTGATTAATGGAGAATGTGTATGCTTGAACAAAAAATTTATTCCAGATATAAAACTCTCGTAAACTTTAAACTCTATGTTTTATTCCTAATAAATTGCATTCTACTGATTTGTTTATAAAAGGAAAATATTTATTAATTCAGATTAGAAAAATAAGATTAGGAAGGAGCGGCCGTTTATATGGCTACCCCTTTTTTTTTTTTGTGGGGGGGGGGGGAACAAATATAAGGCTACCGTTTAAGTCTTTTTTTTTTTTTTATAACCTGATCTGAGCCATGAAAATTTGGATAATTTATATATATATATATATATATAAGAGTTTCTAAGTCTAGTTAGTTTGAGCCCTGAAAAAGGGTCCAGGTTTGGACTATCTGTTTAAACCTGTATTTATTTTTTATTTCAAAAAATGAGATATTTTAAATTTTTAAATTAAATTTAAATTTTAGAATGTGTTTGTATTTTAAAATTAGTATTTTCATAATTTATTTTTAATTTTGAAAATTATAATTTATATTTTAAATAAATAATTGTAATATTATAATGTAAAAAAATAATTCTTCTAAAAAAATTAAAAATTAAAATAAATAAAAAAGAGCTTTCAGAACTTGACGATGAGCTTAATCAATAACTAAATTTAATATAAAGGACTTTTAGGCCTGAGCCCACATAAACTATACCATATGGGCCAAACCCTACGGCCATTTTAGACATGCAAATTGCAAGAAAACAAAGAGGAATTATCATCCTGCGGACTCCTGCCAGCCCGACTGGTCAGGCTAATTTTATTGTAGGCCCAACTTCACGACTCTTCTCAGGGTCTTGCGCGTGTCTCAGATTAATGGGACACAAATTAATTTTATAGAAGAGAATAATATTCATGCTTTGAAATAAAATATAACATTAATGTAAAGTGAGCTATAAAAAAATTATAAAACGTATTAAATGTCTCCTTTTGCACAATAATTGAAATTGGGGATGGATTTGGATTCAGTCACTCAAAATAATTGTATTCATTGAATTTTTTCAATACTTAAAAATTATTAAGATATATTTTTTTTCAATAATTCAAAACAATTTTTATTATCAAAGCACTCCTTACATATGGTATTCTCTCTAAAAATTTGAGATTTATTTCTTTCTAAGCATTATATGACAATATCTTATAACCATTTAATTAAATTGAATTGTTGTTATCCTGAATTTTTTGTCCTAATATTTTTTGTGAGGATATCAATGGATGGCCTTTGAAATGATTTAATATTTGACAATGATTTCTAACAAATAAATGAGAACGATTAACTAGTAAAGTTTAAGTTTTAACAAGTAACTGATTTATCAAGTCTTTATTAGAAATTAAATCATTTTGGAGGTTTTTTTTATTGATATTTTGCCTTTTTTTTTTACGTTGAGCCCAAAAAACGAAATAATAGATTTTAAATTTCACCATAAAAAATCACACACACACACACACACACAATATACTAGGCCAATTTTGGAGGCCATATTTAGGAGCAGGATAATGACGGGCGAGATGCACGACTGCACGAGTCAAGATAATGACAAATCAATCCCAAGTTGATGGGAAAACAGCATTATTACCCCCCAAAAAAAAAATCCAAAGTTAATTGGAAAACAGCATTTTATATTAATTGAGCCATGGATTAATTTAACACATACATGAATTTAAATCTTCTAAATTTGAGATTAATGATTTCTGTGATATTTTTTTGTATTTTTTGATTTTCTCATTTTTTTTTGTAAAGTATAAAATTTTGTATCTCATTCTTAAAATGATAAATTTCATGAGATTTACAGATTCTCAACTTCAGAGGATTCATTCTTCACAAATATAAAATTATGTGCTAGATTTTTTACAGGACATGTTCATTTTATTTGGCTATTAGAATTTCATAAACCAATTTTGAGATTTAGGTTTTTGTTCAGAGCACCATGCCCCTCCAAGGCTTGTCAAGCATGCTAGAAGAGGAAATCCTCAAGATAAGTAGTTAGATCAAACAATGTGTGTAGGTTTTTAAGATTTTTACTACAATTTCTTTAGAGTGCCAAAGTGAAGCGAAAAGCTAAGAGTACATTAAATGACACATAAATTTGACTTGTATTACTAATGTATAAGTACAATGAGTGCTCTGTTAAACAAAAGAGAAAATAAAGTAAAAGTAGCCTAGGGGCCTGAAGCTGAATTGGCTAAGAGAGTTGTGTGAAGTAATCTTGAGGTGTGGTTAGGTCAAAGTTTGAGCATTACGCTAGGCAAGTTAATTTGATTGGGTTAATTGCATAGAATGTTGAGAGACCTTCAATTATGCACTTGTCGCGTGGTTGTTAAAAATGGCAATGGTACATCCCTTTAAATTTGAACATCGGTGCCAGAACGAGCAGATATTCACGCCACTGTATTACTGTGGATGAGCTTCATCATGTGGAGAGGCGAGTATAAGTGCGCCATATACTTTGGGTGGTGGAAAGAGTGAACGAGATTGAGTCTTAAGCTCCTTAAACAGAGTGTTATATTTAGTTTTGTCAAGGCTAACTATCTGATGGGCTCATATTCTATAGAACTAAATTGGGTTTCAGCCTATCCTTATTTTTGGCCCAGTGCTCCAAAACAAATTCAAACACCAACCTATGTCCAGTCTCTTTATACTACCACTCCACTCTTATCATTTGAGCTAGTTTCATGTGGCTTAATTGGTATGTTTTTTCTACGGTGTAAAAAAAATAATGAAGAAAAGTGTAAAACGACAGCCACTATATGCATTGAAGGCTAAAGCCACTATAGGTTGGTCACGTTCTTATCCTCATCACATGGTGGCATATGCCCATTCCACTCTTTGTTTCTTATTGTTGGGTTGTTGGATTCACACGCCACTCCTTTTTCCTTCTTTCGCATCACCAACGTCATCACACACTTTCCTCATATTATCTATAATTCATATAATAATGAATAAAAATGCTTTTTACATTCAATAAATTTCAACAATTGGCAAGAAGTGAGTTCAAGCTTTATTACTAACAGAAAAATATCCGTTAGAAATAAAGCTGCCAATAAGGTCAGTCTTTAAAAGATTAGGATTTAAATGGAGTAATCTTATCAAGCTCAATTATATTTCAGAGCTCTATTTTTATCAACCCAGCCCTAGACTTTAGGGCTAAAGGCTGGCTTTATTTTTTTATTTTTTAATTTAAAAATCTAAAAATATATATTTAAAATTTTAAAAAATTATTACACATAATATTGAGTCTAGAAAAATAAATTTAAATAAATACATACAATAATAAATTTAAGTCTAATAAAAACATAACATTACAAAATCTACATTGATAACAATCAGCTTTGCCAGAATCATTAACTAAATCTTGATAATTTTCATTTTCATTATCATCAACATCAATATAATGCCATCCTTCTCCTTGTGAGTCCCGTAGGTGGCAAAGATATTAAATTTTTCATATATTCTTTTTTCATCCTCATAGAATGAGGCTACAGTATTAGAATTAGTGTAGTATTTAATTTTTTTTTAATATTAAAATTTTGTGTGTGCGTTACCCCCCGCGCGCGCTCTATTTTGGCCAACTCGCCTTTAGTTCTCAGGACCTCAACCCTTTTTTTCATTTTTCAATTTAAAAATATAAAAATATATATTTAAAATTTCAAAAAAAAATATTACATATAACATTGAGCTTAGAAAAACAAATTTAAGTTAATATACACACAAAAAAATTTAAGTCTAATAAAAAATGACATCACAAAATCTACACTGATAGCAATCAGACTTTGCTAGTCATTAGCTAAATATTGATGATTTTTATTGTCATCAACATCAACATAATGTCATCTTCTTGTGGAGTCTCATCAATAGCAAAGATATCAAGCTTTTTATATATTTCCTCTTCGTCCTTATAAAATGAGTCTAGAGTTTTAGAATTAATGTAGTATTTAATTTTTTTAATATTAAAATTTTGTGTGTATATATATATAAGAGTTTAAAAAGGCTAGCCTTTTTATTTTAGGGCTTAAAGCCAAGATTGTCATTTTATAATCTATAGTGGCTTGGCCTTGAATTTTTTTGGGTTTAAAAGGGTCAATCCAACGGGTTTAACCCTAATTGACAGCTCTAACTATTTATAAGGCAAAAAAAATATATTTTTTATCTTATTTATAAGTCATGTTATTAATTTTTTATCACAAATTTCTCTTTTCATCATCTATTAAATATTTGTAAAAGAAAGCATGTTATTAAAATATGAATGTTTAACATGAACAAAATTGAAAAGCTACTAATTTTTTAGATTGAGTTAATAAACTTTAAATTTTTTTAATTCTTATAAAACATATTGTAGGTGATTTATAAATAAAATATGTTACATACATGCTAAAGATCCCCCCACTGGAAAAAAAAAAAAGGAGAGTGACAATTAAAAACTTTGTAAAAATATTAATGTTAAATCAAAAATTTTAATATTAAAATATGAGA